ATTATAGGAAATGCTTAACAAAATTCCCAAATTCAAACTGCAACCAGAAAGAACAAAAACATGAAAATATTTGCTATAGTTTTTTAAACTAAGTTTTCTCCATTTCACTACATTTCACCAAATTGAAAATTTGGGGCAAGGGGGAGATTCAGTTTACATGTTTGAATTCCGGAAAATGGGTTGATTGAGGGAAGAAGATCTAGAAGGAGGAAATTTCAGTGGTCTGAATTCAAATTTCTTAGCCTAATATTCGAGGTCTTTCTTATCTGACCCAAGTTTATTTTTTAAGTCATTCAGGTCAGGAAGTATTTGGTTGCAATAGGACTGCTCAAACTAGCTCAAATAAACAAAAAAACAAGGTTTTTTTTGAGGGGTGAATTCATTTTAAGAAAATAAGGACCCACATGTGGGAAATACAAGCAGGACTGGAAAATAATGGTTTAATAATAATAATAGTTGACATTGCTTACCATGTGCCTGGCACTGTTCTGAGAACTTTCCGTGTATTATCTCATTTAATGCTTACAACAGCACAAAGGTAATCACTGTTTTTACTTCATCCTACTTTACAGGAAGGTTTGGTAACTTTCCCAATACCAACATGTATGTTAGAGAAAGTGCTGGAACTGACTCCCAGTGGTCTAGGCCCAGAGGCCACACATTTAGACATTCCACCATGTAGTTCTCGTACGTTTGGCACCGTTTCCCCCTTCGTTCGGGTCTCTTCTGCTTCCCCATAATAACACAGTTTGTGTGTGTCTTCTCTTACCACAGCACTTACTTTGCATCCACAATCTTGCTCTTTTGCTTCCTAGAGCTGAATGACTCAGGTTCACAACGTTCCTGTTCCAAATTTCTGGAAAAGATAATCTGGCTCATCTAGCCTGTTGTCAAGCATTGAGCCCTGAGACAATCGGGTGAGGGTGGGAGAGGAAAGGGGGGAGAAGGGCAGGTTGGGTCACCTTATGCAAACATGCTAGACCTATCCCTTTAGATTCTAGATTCTTAGACAGGGTGCAAAGATTCAGGTGCAATGGCTGGCATCTTCCTCCACCTATCTTATTTTTATACCTGTTCAAATCCTTTGCAGTAGTCAGCCAGATGCCTTCATTAGTCCCTGAACACACTGAGTACATTCCTACATCAGTGCTTTTGCTCACGCTAGTTTTCTGGCCTGGAATTTAATCTGTCCTTATGACTCAACCCTTCTGATTATTGTCAGTGCTTCAAGGCTCACACCGTGTCAGACTTCCCACCTCTGAACTCCCTCAGAGCTTGTCTTATCACACTCTTGGTGCTTTATCATATTCTCTCTTGCATTGTTATTTATATTTTATTAGTATGTCTTTTCTCCTCAACTACGCCAATTAATCAAGACATAAGTTTCTTGAGATCACAATCTATGTATTTAAAATTGTATTCCAATCACAACTGTAGCAGTGTTGTACATGGATGGATGTACCTATTGATTGATTGAAGGAAAGAAAGAAAAAAGGCCCAAAAAGCACAATTGGAACAGAAAGTGGAGGCTGTTGGACTGAGGGTAATATGGAGATTTAAAAGTTGACTTTTCATTTCATTTTTCCTCATTTTTTCAATCGTTTATAGGAGAGAGAACAGAATTTAAATTCCTGGTGAATAAAGGCTTTTCCCTTCTTTCCTCAAGCTTCACCTATTTCCAAGTAAATGTTGGTTATTGATTAATATTTCAATGTCTGACTAATTTATGAATAAGTTTAGCATTAAGTTCTTTTAAATATTCTAATGGCAATTACAAACCTAGTAAAATTTTAATTTTTAATTTAAGATTATAATGTAAAACACAAAATATATCAATTATACATTTTAAACCGAAATTATGGTCTAATCTGTGACTCTATTAGGCCAAATCTTCTTAAAAATTATTAACGCTTAAAATGTCATATTTACTTCATTATTTCCATTTCTGTTTGATATAATTCATTATTTCAATGGGTTAGAATACATTTATTGACCATTTTAAAAAAGCCATTTCAAATAATTGGGCTTGTTTCTCTAACTCAGTTTCTGGAAATTATTCTCTATTGGTGACTGTTGTCTGTCCCACCTGAGAACTGGTCAAGACTAGAGATGTGGAGCTGCAGACCTCCGTAATTTGCCTCATGATCCTGTTGATTAAGTTCAAGCTGTTCTAATTGTCGCTTAGGTTTAGTTTTGTGTTATATTTGGAGTAGCCCTAGAGATTTTAGGCAAAATACAGTTTTCTGGGTTACAACCATTCTGTTTTTCAATAAAGATTTATTGAGTGCCTGCTCTGTGTCATCATTCCAGGTTGGCTCAGAAAAAAATTGTCACATAAGTGATACTTGACATTGCCAATCTTTCCCCCTCTCTCTTTGTTATGAATCCATTCCTCAGGTCTCCAATGCTGAGTCCTGTTGGACCTAGCTCCACAATACAGCACCTCCCCTCCACCTCCTCACCTTAGGAAGTGTTCAAGAGGCATTTGTCTTGGTTAGGCCACATATTTATTTTTCCACAAGAAATTTCCAAAGATATAGTATCTTATCCTAGTAAGGTTTTTCAGACTTTACGTACCTCTCCACAGAGGAAGAAATATATTTTACATTTTCACGTAATAAGTACATATATGTATCTGAAATGAATGTTTTATTTGACAATAATTACCCCTAAAACTGCAACAAAAATCACAGTTAATATTGAATACGATTTTATTAATAATGAAGTGCAACATTATATTTCTTTTTTTTTTTTCTTTTTGTGAGGAAGAATGGCCCTGTGCTAACATCTGTTGCCCAGCTTCCTTTTTTTTTCTTTTTTCTCTCCAAAGCCCCAATACATAGTTGTGTATCATAGTTGTAGAGTTGTAGCTCTTCTATATGGGACCCTGCCACAGCACGGCTTGATGAGCGGTGAGTAGGTCCGCCCCCAGGATCTGAACTGGCGAACCCAGGGCTGCTGAAGCGGAGTGCTTGAACTTAACCGCTACGCTGCTGGCCTGGCCCCCCATTTTATTTTCTTAAACTACCAATTAGAACCTACTAACTTTACCTCAAGACCCGCTAAAGAGTCACAAACAGGAATAACTTTATTGGAGGGTGTTTTTGGCATAAAAGTGGCTTTTATGCATACCTCAAATTATACAAAGTAGGGTCTACTGTTGCAAGACATTCACCCACATTTCTCCGGCATTTCTACTTTGTTGTAAAAGAGGGCCTTCTGAGTATAGCAGAATTTGGACAAAAGTGAAGGGGCCAGCTGAGGGAAATGTACACCCTTAAGGAGTCCTTTAATTCTCTTTTTATCGTTTAGACTCCCCAGGATTCTTGAGGAAGGCTTCACTGAGCAATTAAACACTGAGATATTCACCTGTATATCCAAATTTGGAAAAGTGATGGATATGCAATTTTGCCTCCAGATACAGCTCTAGTCTCCTCCTTCCTCCAATCAAATGAGTGTATGCTTATTGAGTCAGTGTGTCCCACAGTGTTTTCAAGTTAAGTGTAAGTAGGTATCATGACACAAAAGTTATTTTTTCCATGCTCAAGAGGGTTGTATAACATCTACTGTGATCAGACTCTTTATTGAGTAATGAATATGGAAATGAGATAATTGGACTACAGTACAAAGTTAAAACGAACTGTAAGAATTTAAATAAATAAGGCTGAAGGATGTGGGTAACTTTGCGCATTTATGAGTGAGATTGTGTGGTAATAATTGTTGCAGGGGACACATATTTTTTTAATCCATTAATTCTTAAAACAATTGTTTTGGCCTCATAATTTAATACCACTTCGAACAGCTTCTAACATAACAACCCAAGAAGTACCTTGGACTTGATGAAAAATATTTCTGCATTTTACTTAGAAATCTTAAGTAGTTATATTCCTAATTTGAGGGAATGGTTTTGGGGAAATATCTTTTAAAAGCCAGGGTGTAAAATAGGGGCCTGCCAAGGTATTTCATGCTCTATGATTAGGTTCTTTCAATTTTAAATCCACTGAACCAATAAGCCATTGTTAGCCAAGCAGAAAGAAAACAACGTTTATTGCCATGCTGTGGGCAACTTCTCTTGTCTTCTTCTATTCTTTAAATTTCTAAGTGCCTGATTTCTTGTTATTTTGATTTTGTGCATATGGTTACCTCTGGCTATGGTTGTGTAAGAGAGAGACAGCTAGGTCAGTAGATGCTCTACTTATCTTTTGAATTACATAGTAACTTTCTTAAGGAGAGGCATTAAATCCTCTACTTCCTTCACAATGATCTATAATCCCTAGTGTTCTATTCATAAACATGCTCAATAAATGCTGTTTATGCGCTGACCAGCTGCTCATAAGTGAAATAGTTTATGGATTCTTCCTAGAAGAAGGGTTCAAGAAGGTCAAAACTGAATTAACCTTCCTATAAAACCATTCTAATAAACCCAAACTTGAATCAAGTCAGACACTCAGGAGTGGAAGAAAGTCTCCTTGAAGTCATTATACCAAACAGTCAGAGCTACTGTACTGGGACATTAAGTATTTGAGTTCAGTATCTATATCTAGTTGATAAGCGTATGTACAGAAAACTTAGATCAGATGATGTATTGCATTTGGGAACAGATTCAGAATTAGTTTCAAATTGGCAGAAGGTATGGCATAGAAATTTCCATGCTCTGATTAGTCTAAGTACATGTGTAAAGATTCACATATACACACATACTCACACACAGATGAAGAGAGAGAGAGAAAGAACACACATATACCAGAATAATAGAATAGTTAAAAAAAAATATAAACTACGCTTAGGGACATGTTTTAATAGCCATCTTCTACATCACAAGACCTAAGTTCAATTTCTTATTTCTAAAGGAACAAAAATAAAATGCAATATATATATACATAGTGTCTCTAATATATTCTGCTCCTGAGGAATAAAAAATTGTTAAATAAAAAACTGAGACTTAGAGGGCCAGCCCAGTGGCATAGTGGTTAAATTCGTGTGCTTCAGTTCGGCGGCGTGGGGTTCATCAGTTTGGATCTGGGGCGCGGACCTACGCACCGCTCATTAAGCCATGCTGTGGTGGCATCCCATATAAAGTAGAGGAAGATGGGCATGGATGTTAGCCCAGGGCAGATCTTCCTCAGCAAAAAGAGGTGGATTGGCAATGGATGTCAGCTCAGGGCTAATCTTCTTCACACACACACACACACACACACACACACACAGAACAAAAAACAAAAAGCAAAAAAGACTTATTCTTTGGCATTGTCTTAATAACTATGCTAAAAAAATCTCTCCTTTTTTTTTCTTTTTCTTCTTTTGGTTAATCAGGTAGCTCCAAGACAGACAGCATTGCTAAGTAAAAAAAAAAAAAAAAAAGAAGGAAAGAAAAGAAAAGACAAAAAGAAAGCACGTTATTTCCTTTACCTGAAAACACGATCATCATACCAAAAATGTCCCATATTCCTCTGCACCCCACCCTTCCAGAATCTTCCCTCATGGGCTATCGTGCTCTTGGGCCTGGGCTGGAGGATGAGAAGAGAACCCCGTCAATAATTCCTGAGGCCAAAGGAGAAAGTCTCCAAGACAAATGCTTGGCTGCTCCCTTTATGTGAGCTCAGAGGGGAAAGTGCTTCTCATTCTTCCAGCCAAAAATGAGAGGAATAATTGTTCAGTTTATTTGGAAAAACAATAAAAAATTTAAGTAAGAGCAATTGAATTAGAATAATAGAATAAAAATGATGCTGATTTTCTTTATATTAATTCTATCTACCCATGGATTCAAGCTGGAATTTGCTCTTTTTACTTGCTTCTTCCTCTACAGCTATGGTACATCCTGAAGCTCTGTTTATTTTACCCTCAAAATAAATGTCTAATCTGTACTTTTCTTTCCATCACTACTGCCACCATCATCCTAGGCTAAGCCATCACTATTCCTCATTTGAAGTATAGTCTAATAATATGTCTTTCTACTTCTCTCTCGCTCTCTTTTCCTCCATTATTGACATAACAGCCAGTGCTGTCTTTGAAGAACCTCTGTCAAATTTTGCCACATTCTTGGTTTCTTTTGCATTTGGAAGCAAGCAAATTAAAATGCTTATGTATCTTTTATTGTATGTGTGTGTGAGGAAGATTGTCCCTGAGCTAACATCTGTGACCATTTTCCTCTATTTTGTATGTGGGACGCTGCCACGGCTTGGCTTGATGAGTGGTGTGCAGGTCTGTGCCCAGGATCTGAACCCATGAACCCTAGGCCATCAAAGCAGAGCATGTGAACTTAACCACTACGCCATCGGGCCAGCCCCAAAATGTGTGCATATCCTAATAAAACCTTTCATGATCTGGCTCTTATTCTCCAAATTCATCTCACTCTGCCTGTCTCCCTCCATCCACACCTGTGATTTTCAATTCCCTGAATTCACAAAGTCCTTAGTCCTCACATGGGCTGGACTAACTGCCTGCATTTCTTACCTCCTTCCCTAAATCTTCATTTTTACAAAGTCCTTATTCTTCAGATCTCAGCTTAATTTTTGCCTTCTCAGAGAAATCTTCCCAGATCACCCAGTCTAATCGAGGTCTTTCTTATTATCCTCTCCCACTGAGTTTTATTCTTTTCTTCCTTCTAGTTATCAAAATTTGCAATTACGCATATTTATTTGTCTGCCTGCCCCATCAAACAGTGAACTCCAAGAGAAGCATTGTATCCAACACCCAGCACCGTGTCTGAAGTTCAGTAGGCACTTATACAATATCTGTTGACTGAATTAACTAATTAGTTGTTATGTTACTAATTAAGACATATTCATGAATTATAGCATATGGTCCAGATATAAATTTTTAAGTCTCTTCACTTAAGGAATTAGAATAGGACCTTTAGCACGTTTATGGGATAGTTTGGATCATTTTCCTTCCAAGTGTTAAAAAAAATGTCTTGTGGTCTTACATACTAACCCTAAAATAATTTTTTTTCCCTTTTTTGCAGGGGAAGAGTCTCCCTAAGCTAACATCTGTTGCCAACTTTCCTCCTTTTTTCTTCCCTTTTTCCCCCCTAAAGTCCCAGTACATAGTTGTGTGTAGTTGTAAGTTCTTCTGGTTCTTCTATGTGAGCCGCTGCCACAGCGTGGCTACTGACAGACGAGTGGTGTGGTTCTGCACCCGGGAACAGAACCCAGGCCGCCAAAGCCGAGCGTGCCAAACTTTAACCACTAGGCCATCAGAGGGGGCTCTGAAATGATTTTTTAACTTTCAAATCACAGTGCTTTGTCTTACAATGATCAGCAGTCTCCAATTTATCATAATTGCAGGGGGATATTTTATACTTCTTTTGGAAGGAAATCTCTTTCTGAAGACAACCTAAAGAGAAAACAATCCGTCCATTGGTAAGAAAGACAAACAGGCAGCTTCCAATATAAAAATATTAAACATCCATTCCTTCAGCCTCAGCAGCTCAGAACTTTGAGAATAATCCAGTTAAACTACACCATTCTCAGTATCTTACCTAGCATCAGACCTGGCTAGAGCCTGATAGAAGCAACTGGTTTGGCAACTTATTCATGTCTTGTCCCATCAGTGATGCCTAGTATAGGAGATTAAATTTCCTTCAAACTGATTGAATGATTCCTGAACCAGCGTTTTTCCGATCTGTGTAACAGGAATCACTTAACAGCCAACTGGAAAATTAAGTTCCATCTCTGGTTCTTGGAACAATCTTCTTCCCAGGGAGAGGAAATTTATGTTCTTTAGTCTAATGGCACAGGAGTGAGCCAAAGGCAGTTTGCTGCTAGTCTGCCTTTGATATTGGATCTGCTTTCTGGATTCTGTCTTGATCCATATGACCGAATCTCCTGAATCCAGATCCATTCACCAGGAACTTGGGAATTGCTTTCAGTCTTGGAATCTTAACTGGAAAAACTTTTCCTCTACTAGGGGTTCTTTTCCTGACACATAGTATTTCAGAGCTTGGGCTTTGGGGCCAGCCAGATATGAGCCTAAATTCTCAGTACATAAACGCTGTGATTTTTTGCACAAATAATGTAAACTCTCTAAATCTTAATTTTCTCATCTGTATAGAGATTATAACAACAGCAATTTCCTCATAGGGACGTTGTGGGAATTAGTTGTGATTAGGCATGCAATGTGCCTAGGACTGCTTTAAAGGTAGTGAAACTTCTATCCCTAGAAGTGATCAAGCAGTAGCTAATAGTTCATGTCTGTATCATCCTTGGATTGCAGAGGCCACGCCTGTGTCAGGAGGCAGAACTCTTGATTTTCCCATCTTCCTGAACCTCTTCTTCCATTGTTTTTTATGTCAGTTAATGGGACTATCATCTACCAAATTGCTCAGGTCCAAATCTCCTAAGATGTCAGGAGATGGTCTTGATTCCTCTTTTCCTCAGTCCCCACACACAATCCATCCGCAAGCACTTTGGGCTCAGTCTCAAAGAATTTCCTGAGCTACACTACTTTTTATGATTTTCACTCTTAACCACCAAGTTCAAGTTACTATCATCTCTTACCTGGACTATTGTAGTAGCTTCCTCATCTCCCTTTTAGTCTCATTTCCCTAAGGTCCCATTTCCACATAGCAATGAATGGATATTTTAAATCTATAAACCCTCCCATAGCACTCCTTTGCTTAAAACTTTACAAAGGCTTTTGATGTTATGTTAGAATAAAATCCAGCTTCTTGCCGTGATCTTCAAGGCCCTCCTAATCTGGCCTCCAACTAACTCTTTGGCCTCATTTCCTCCGTGTCATTTACTTGTTCAATTTTCTTCCCATCTCTCTTTTCCTCACACCTGCTTAGCTTGTTATTACCTCTGGGTCTTTGCATTTGTGGTTCCCTATTTCTGGAAAACACTTTTCCTAGGTCTTTGTCTGGCTAACTCATTCTCATTGTTCAGATGTCAGCCTCAATATTATCTCTTCAGAGTTGCGTTTCCTGTTACCCTTTCTTAAGTAGGACACCCTCCCCACAACCCGGTCACTCTCTATCCCAATCCTGTTTTGTATTTTCTCCACAGCAATGATCATTATCTGAAATAATTTTATTTTCCATCTCATCTTTCCATTCCCCCCAAATATCTGGTATATAATCTCGAGAATCCTCATTCCCCATTGTAGCCTCAATCTGTAGAACAATAAAGGCACATGGCAGACCCTTAATAAATATTTGATACATCTTACTCAATGAATGAGATTTGTGAGTTTGCACTTCTTTGCTCTGCTAATTGTTGCTAGAAACAGTGTGAAAAAAGAAAGCATAAAAGGGTTCATTCTACAAAAGTCTCTTGCTACATTTTCAACAATTAGAACCACAAAAAAATGACAGGTCCTGCAGACTTGACCTTTTTGAGGTGCACCGGCAGCTGAAAGAATGTATTTCCTTTTGTTTGCACCACATCTGCATACTTAACTAAAACAACAGTTGGCAACAAGAGCATCCCTTCAAAAACAAAAGACAAGAATACTTACTCTGACATTTATTTCTTTAACTGTTTTTAGAATTGTTGATGATCTACGTTTCTTTCCTTTGGAGAACAAATTCTTAAAGAAGATTTAATAATTTTTAAAAAATGAAAATAAATGCCAGTAGTAAATACAATCATGGGTTCTCTACGATCTCTATTCTTTCTCTTTAAGGTTTACATGTCAAATTAATTAGTTTGTATGCTCAATGAAGGAAGATTGTTTGGTTATCATAGTTTAGGAACGCCCTCGCCCCCTTGCGCCCCCAGGAAAGGGAGTAGTTCACATAATTTTTCTATTTTACTATAATTAAATGTTTTGGTATTCACCATGGAAAAGGAAGAGACTATTGGTCAATAGAGGAACTGTGAACAATGGTGTATAGTTAAACCTCACTTCAAGATACATTGTCCCCAAGGTTCTGAAACATTCATTTTTGAATACCTGAGGACCGAAGACGTTATTGATCACAAACAAGACTGAAGAGTGCATACAAATATGACACTTCACTTTTGTAAATATAAAAGTTTAGGTTTGGGTACACAAAACAGAGCAGAAAATTGTTATTGACTAATGAATGCAGGCAAGACGGACATTACATGTTGTCTTAGAATGTTTGATTTCTTCAAAAGCAAGTTTATCACATCTCTTTGCCTATGTTTCTGTCTTTGTGTCTAGAAAAATATGACAATAGAATAATAAAAAGAATTTTATTTTCTGTTTGGGAAATAGTATATTTGCACATGTTTTTATGACCTTGAAGTAACAAAGCAAGGATACATGAAAAGATTTATAGAACAAAACTTAAAACGAAAAAAAAAGGAGAAAAAATGGAGGTGGATGATGGACTTGTTTATTAATTTAAGATTGACCTTTTTTTTTAAGATTCCACATGTAAGTGATATCATGCAGTATTTGCCTTTCTCTGTCTGGCTTAGCGTAACGCCCTCCATGTTGCCGCAAATGGCAAGACTGCCATAATTTTGTTTTTCAATTATACCCGAATAAAGTTGAAAAAAATTTTTTCAAAAAAGATGGAAATTGACCTTACATTGCATTTTAAAGAAAAGCCTTTTAGTTAATAAATAAAACCCATGTTTGGAAACGTGCCTTTTTATACATATCTGTAAATGTGTGGATGTTTACGTCTGAAATCAGAATATGCACAGAGATAGGTGGTCCTCATTGTAGAGCAACACAAAAGTTGGAAGGACAAATTACCAACCAATATTCACCTCCCAACCATATGACTATAAGGCAGTGGAGTGGTGAAGAGAAGTTTGTGAATTTGATTTAGATAAAATGTTTGAATCTTTAAGGCCCTGGGCATGTGCTGATTTTCCTAGCTACCTAAAATATCTTTAATGATTTCCACATGCCATATTCCCACTCTTGTGTAGAAAACATATGGGACAGTTTCCCAGATGGTGAGTTGAGCATCAATGAGGAGTTGGTGAGTGATTCCTGAAAGCTCCTCTGTGCTTGAGAGCAGACTAGGAAAGGAAGAACCTCCCAGAAGACTAAAGTAGCTTTACAGCATAATTGAGAAGACTGATGAAGATAACCAATATACATTAAATAATCAAGTTATTAGAATATGACAATAAAAACATGCTTGTTGAGAAGACACTCAGCCTGTAATCTGGATGTTGAGAGAAACACAGTCAAACTGAAACATCTGTAAGTCTCCAAATTAGATGTCAAAAGAGTCTGGACGCTAAAGCTTATTCTTTTACTCTGATAAAAGTCCCTTAAGTCCTGACTTGGGGATTATGAAATCTTTTTAAAAAATGTGTAGTTTGAACAATTTTCACTATTTGGTTCTCATTTGATATAATATTTTAGAAGATTAAAAGTGACCCCCATAGAAAGGGGTTAGTGGTAAATTCAATGGTCTGTGAACCATGTGACTTGGACAGTAAGGGGAAAATCAGAAAGATCTGAAATGTATGCCAAGGAACTCAAGGAGCTCTTGAGCTCAAAATAATATTTTGGACCAGTTAGTATATGATCACACAGCCTTATATACTTTCTCACAAATAAATATAAGTATCTTTTAAAAACATCAGTTCTGGGGGGCCGGCCCCACGGCTTAGAGGTTAAGAGCGCACGCTCCGCTACTGGTGGCCTGGGTTTGGATCCCGGGCGCGCACCAACACACCGCTTGTCCGGCCATGCTGAGGCGGCATCCCACATACAGCAACTAGAAGGATGTGCAACTATGACATACAACTATCTACTGGGGCTTTGGGGAGAAAAAGGGAAAAAAAGGTGGAGGGTTGGCAATAGATGTTACCTCAGGGCGGGTCTTCCTCAGTAAAAAGAGGAGGATTGGCATGAATGTTAGCTCAGGGCTGATCTTCCTCAAAATAAATAAATAAATAAATAAATAAATAAATAAATAAATAAATAAATAAAATAAAACTTAAAAAAAAAAAAAAACCACATCAGTTCTGGTCAACAAATTTTAAGTTCCTTGAGGCAAGGGCTACGTCTTTACAGTTATGTCCCCAGTGTGAGCACAGAAGCTGGCAGGTAATAGGAGCTCAATAAAAGCATTACTGTTGAATGATTGATTTTATCTTTCAAACTCTAGGGAGACTATATTTTCTTTCTCTCTATATCTTTTTATCTAACTATTGACTGCTGTATACTTGGAAGACTTCAATGGAAATCTTTATGATGACCACAGTCATTAGTAATGAAGTGTATTGCTAATAATACATAACATGGCTGATTCTCTAAGTAGCAGGATCTAAAAGAGGGTACACTGTGTGGCCTGAACATACAGTAATTTGCTGTATGACCACGGACAATTCATTTAACCTCTCTGTTACACAGATTTCCCATTTGTGAAACTAGAATACTGCTACCTATCTCCTGCCTACTTCACATTATCTCATGTTCACACATGAGATAATGGCTGTATGTCATTGGGAGCTCATTGGAGAAAAGTGCTGTTTAATTACAATTGTTACTATTTGGTAGAAAGAGTTAATGATGATGAGGGGAAGAACTAATGCTGTCTAAGTTATGTTTAAATGCATCTAGGGTAGGGGCAAAAAAGAAAAAAAAAGGGAAAAAGCATAACAAATTCCTCCCAAAGCAAAGCCAATTGAATTTATTTTTGCTTTGGATTACCAAAAAATGGAATATTTTCTTCTAAAGAGGTAAAAAGAAAATGATAAAATAAAAAGATGAGAATAAGAAATAGTTTTTTGTGATTATCTGAACAAGAATAAAGAATAAAAAAATAGAAAAAATTAGCAAGAAAGAAAAGTTTTAATAAGGTTTCTAGTTCACTTTTTAGAGACAAGTGCCTCTTGGTTATATGTTTGCGGCTTCTCCACTTTCTATACTATGTAGGTTAAATCTGCACCCCTGGGCAGACTTCTCCCTTGTCTGCATGTTTCTGGGTCAAGTCCCTCTTTCTGTGCCCTCTCCCTGAGGCAGTTTTTATGTCAAGGAATGCAAACCAATTTTAATATTAGCCTAAGGTAAACATAATTAGAAGGGTAAATTTTCTGCCAAAAGGGGGGAAATCATACAATGCATTTCAAACTCAAATGTAATTTTTGTTAAAAAAACTTTAATGTCTTATACTTCTCCAAAATGTCATTATATTAATGAAGCACAGGGTTAGGTATCATCCATAAATGATTACCTCTTGTCCAATGAGGAAAGTATCCTTGAAACTAATTTTTTAAAAGTCATTAAACCTGCATTATCTTGCAAAATATTCAACAAATTCCCAACAAATACCAAAGGTTTGCAATACCATCGATAAATATATAGAACTCCATAAATATTTAATATCTATAAAATGCATTCCAGGTAATTGAAAAATAAGAAAGTAAAATGAAAGAAATTTGGAAAAAAGGTAAATAGGGAGAATAATTATCATATAACAGGTGATTTAATAAGTGGAATAGAAAATTTGGCATTGAGAGTGTAGGTATGAGCTACTTGAAGACAGAAACTACCTTTTTCATCATTATACTCCCCCAGCAAATAGAGGAAAGGCTCAGTAAATTCCTGAAGAATGAAGGGTATGGTAGGCAAGGAATAGAACAAGCCTGAAATTGGTACCAAAAAAAAAGAAAGGGGCTGGCAGAAGAAAAAAGGGGCACGAGCGACAAGAACAAATTACATTTAACTTTTTAAAAAGGATTGAATTTTTTGTCTTGTAGATAAATTTTGCCGTCATTGTGATTTTAATGGTTATTTTTCTAGTTTTTTCTATTTTGTAGTGTTTTCTAATCATGCTAGTTTCTGTCTGTTGTGTTCCTCTGCAGTTCACATACTTGTATATGTTTTTAGTCTCAAAGTTTAAGCCTAAGAGAGAGGAATAATTTTCTAATTCGGAACAAAATGGGGGCAGTTGGGTTCTTAGTAAGTGCCCTGCCAAACAAGAGTGATTTGATTCTCAACTTCACGGTTAAAGTGCCTCCTTTGCCTGATGCCCTTCTGTGCCAGAGGATGCTAGACTCGTGGGCCAGGAGGAGATGAGAATTCCAAAACAGAGAACACTCACTAGACAAGAGTGGATAAATTCCACACACATCTTAAAGTGTTTCCATCCCGTATTTTCTCTCACTGGTGTTGGTTTTCTCTTGTAAGTAGCTTTTAAACATGAAGCCCACTTATGCCACTGGTTAATCTTAAAATATTTATAGTACAGGTTTGACTTGTTCCCCCTTCCTCAAATCTGAGGAACTCTCATTTCACTTCTTCCACAGACTTAAAGCCAAAGAGCTTTCTAAGGCAACCTGAGAAGAAAGTCAATACTAAAGAACAATTCTACGTTTTACTCTCAGAGCTCACAATCCACCTGCTTTCTGAGACAGACAAACTTGTGTTGTTTAGAAAGAGTTTGGCTTAGTGCTCTTTTTAATCAATAGCTTTGATTTTTTTAAAAAAATCTACCTGTTTAAGAGAAGGGCTCAGGTGTTTCAGTGCCTGGAAGTAGCAAACCTGGGATCTACAGCACCTAATGGTACAACATGACTTTCTGAGAACTGACCCTCCACGGGAAGCAGCACAGCAGCGTTGCAGCTCTGAATCCTACTTCCAGGTGCTTCTTTGGGGGCAGAGAGTAAATTGCATAAGCAGTTTCTGGGGAAACAAATGATCTCCACAACAAAAAAGTTAAGAAACAGTAAGTGAAAATAGGCAAACTCTTCTGAGTGAGAATTCAGTACTGGACCCTTTGACCTTAGTCCTCTTATACAAATGGATCTGCAATGTTAATGGGGGTTTTATGGATATTAGGCATGGAAAAGAAACCAACCTACACAGTGAATTGAGGGAATAAGTTGCATATTTCTGTGATCTTTGAAGGCAAGGAAAGTTCGTCAACAGGTTAATCTTGCCTATCTATGATTACTAATGTCTTTCAAGGTTTCGGAGCTTGGCGGTATATTGTTCCCAACATTTCATATTATTCTGTCTGTTTATATCTCCCTGGTAGACACACACTCCACTTTAAAGGAGGAGGTCTTCCTAAGACACAGCTGCAAAGAATTCTATTTATTCACACAAGACTTGAAATAAGACATACTGTAACCTTTAATTATAAATTACTACCTAAGTTTCAAAGAGTGTGAAACGGGAGTGGAAAAGCAATGACAAAATCGCGTGGATTATTTTTTTTAAGATGACAAAATCTTGAGGTTGATTTAACAGGAGTTCTTTGACTTTAAAAGTCATATGCTGAAACCTCTTGTAAAAAAAAGATCTCACGGGTCACACTGCCAAGGATAAACAATCATTCCTAAGTCCTTTGTTTCAGGCCATAGTGAAATCTGATCCTCGACGTGTTCCTGTCCGTCCGTGCATGCATGTGGATCTCGCCGTTTCTTTAGTCCCGGTTTCAAGCACAGAGCTCCTGACTGCAAGGCATTTGATTTCTGGTAATTAATCAGCTCATCATACACGCTGCGTTTCTCCCCCAGGCCCAGCTCAAGTGAGTGATCCAAATCTGGCTTCCGGAAAAAAGAAAGCATTCATGCTCTGAGTGCGCGGAATGAAACACTGATAAACCGTTCTCGGTAAAACATTGAATTCGGATGACATTATTTTTCTTTTAAGCCATAAGTCGTCTTAAAAAAAATGCACATAAGGAAAAACCAAAACCAAAACCAAAGCCAAACAAAAACATGTTGGATGCCCTTTAAACAGAAAGCATTTTGTCCTAACTAAAAGCGTTATCAAGATTTGCTGGTGTTGGTGAGTGTGGTGCTGTGGCCTTTTAAAGTGTTTGCCTGGAATGTTAATGTTCATTTTTTAAACACCTTTTTGTTTGAATCCTTATCCACAGTGCTTTATCTCAGAATTTCTTGTTTGGCGTGTGTCTGTAATAACCTAGTTACTGTTAATACTATCAGTTGTTGTGAACAATCTGAACTTGTGTTAGTAATTCTTCATGCCTAGAGATTTGGCAACTTTCATTCTTTTCGATTACTTACTTGTCTGCCTCAATAGCCATTTGTAAAGTCAGGTTTTGTTATTAGAGCTGAGAATACCCTTGTATATTTGTCTTTCGGGTAATTTTGAGCCCTCTTGTTTCTATAAATAATGTAGTCCTATAATGGGTTCCCCTTTCTTGCCAATTATTCTGCTCAAAACTGAGATTAATCAATCAATCAGTTGTCAAAAGCAGTTCTGAATTGGCTGTATTTGATTTATAGAAGCTAAGCATGAACGTTAAGCAGTGGGAAAAATGGTGTATCAAAACTATAATAAACTTTATGATTTTGAAAGACAGCATGAATTTCAAGTAATGCCAACCCGTATCATTTTCTCCAAGTCTGATAATATTACTCATTGCTATGATGTAATAATCTTATCTTAAGAAATTAGTTCTGGGCCGGCTCTGTGGCTTGGCGGTTGAGTGCGCGCGCTCTGATGCTGGCGACCCGGGTTCGGATCCCGGGTGCGCCGCGAGGCACCACTTCTCTGTCCAACGCGAGGCCGAGTCCCACGTGCAGCAACTAGAAGGATGTGAACCTATGACATACAACTATATACTGGGGCTTTGGGGGGAAAAAACTGAATAAATAAAATCTTAAAAAAAAAAAAAAAAAAGAAATTAGTTCTTCTAGACATCTGACTTACAGTCTTTTACAATGATAGGTTTCATCAAAGCTTCTCAATATTTTGTTTCCCAGGAGACATTTGGCAATTCTGGAGACATTTTTGATTGCCACAACT